TATCAGCTCAACAATAGATCATTGTATCAAACATTCAATAGATGTATTATGTAAACAGTTATGTAATTGCTATAATAATATTTGTTGATGCCAAAGTTGCACTGCTTTCATTGAATGGAAGCAATATAAATTGTGTCTCAAAATAGAAAATGGATGTGTTCATATTACATTGTTGAGATGTTTTTGTTTATTTTGTCTTCAAGAACAAGGTGAGGTTGCCAGGTGGACCTGTCTTTCATGGAGATTCTTGTCAGGTGCATGATATTCAGCTTAATGGCTATGCACACTATTCTAGGTATGATTCCACTAGGCCAAATAAAAAAAAATTGTGTTGGCCACGACTGACCAACCGACCGACCCAAGATGTATGAAATTGAGGCTCGGCATTTTAGTTTTTTGTTTCTGCTTTTTTTTTTTTTTTTACTCCACTGCAAAAAAAAAAAAAAAAAAAAAAAAAAAACTTCCTACCAACCTACCCAATTTTTTGATTTTCCAAAACATGGCCAACACAAGAATTTAAAAAATTTTTTTTTTTGGCCCTATATAAATATGTTTCTAGTATAAGAACACTGTTGATTTCTATAATAAATATCTTAACTCCTGCATATATTGATTATATTAGTGAGAAAGAATTTTCAGAAAATATGGGCTGATTCCTGTATAAATTTTTGCATAGCATTGGCGGTTTTTTAGCAAAATTTTTGCAAGGAGGATATTATTTGCTGCACTAATTTTACAGTCCAGCCCTAGCTGACTCGAGCAAAGTAAATGGTTACACATTTGCTGTACTTTTAAGTTTTTTAATTGTGTGGATTATACAGTACCTCAAAAACCAGCTGAAATTTGCGCGGAAGATTACTAAGAAAATAGGTGTGCAGAATCGTATTTACTGCATAATACATTGTTTATACATTAAGATTAGGTCTAAACCTTATTTTCGGTAAAATCTGTGTGGGAATCACCTATTATTTTTCGAAATGTTCAGACATATTTTTAGGTCACTCTTTTGTATGGAGGATATACTCCCCACAAGTGGATTTCCTATAGAGTCTGGCACATTTTCCCTAGCACAGGTGATTAGGTGCTGAGAGGTTGAGTTCCTCAGGAGAAGATGCAATCCAGGTTATGTTGTGAAAATAAAAGTAGCAGCCATATATGGGTATGATGATGATGTCATCATATCTATATTTAACAAATCAGGTGTCACTGAGGACTTCATTGTGTGTACAGACCTTTACATTAAGTTCGCCCGGATCTGGTCCGGTGCCACGGACAAAAAATCGTGAGTTGTTAGTTTTATTTAACACTGTGTTCACATCGCGCTCAGAGTTGTTTTTGGGGTCAAGTACGTATGCATTTGATTGGTTTGAACCAACCAAGCTTGTTGCTGATTGGTCTAACAAAAACAATCATACGATTTCAAAATACTATTCTTTTTCACTGAATCCATTTTTCACGATTTTGTGTCGAGCCACCAAACTGGATCTGTGCTTGGTGTGAACGTAGCTTTCACCCTGTTGCTAATATAATGATTCTATTTGTTATCAGGGAACTTTTTGAATGCGCAGGGAACAGAGCCGATAGAATGGACCAACAACATAATCTGGATACATCGGTAAGCTGAAGATTTTGTTTCCCGGTTTTGTGCGCACTCAAAATTATATGTGATAAACAACTGTGATAGGCCTATATTTGTGTGTAATATGACAATATCATGCCCGAATGTGGGCACATCACAAAAATTTGTCATGTTAAATTTGATAATGTAGACTTATTTTTTACTATTTTATTCCTTTACTTGTAACTACACCTGGAAAAAAATTGTTTGTGCTCCAGCCATGAAGATTATTGACATAATATACCTAGTGTACTACACAATATATCATTTGTACACTACCATAATGCTAACCCAGTTTTGTTGTAACACTTTGTTATTAAATGCTCGGGTAAGATTGTGAAACAACACAAAATCGTTTTTTTTACGATCATGATGACTATAATAATTTTTTTTAATATATTGGAAATTTACTACAATTTAGTATATCAATTCAAATCATTGTGGGACCCATCTGGAAATAAATACTTTATTTGGATTTAGAGGGTTATCTCAGATATCAACATTGATGACTTGTTTTCTCAATCCTGTTTCATTGTATTCAGTTGTTCAGGTTTTGTGATGTTATTCAGTTGATATCAAATAAATGAAATCAAATAAAAATTGTTACTTCAGGTTTTTCAAATGGAACCCGGAAGAAATCTACACGGCCATGACCTCTTCCTTGTCAAGGTAACAAATGCTTATATTCAAATATTCTGGACAGCGAATGAAAGAGGAAAACGGAGGCCCAGAGTGAAGAGTCCTAGGCCCAATATATTTCTACAAAATAATTACAAAACGAGTAATTTCATCGCTCCACCTGTGTGTTGACGTTTTAGCTTGTAGGCCTTGGACATGAACAATAGTTCGTGCGTAATATGATCACATACAAAATCGGTTATTTGCTGTTCAAACATACTATCCATTACGTGTTATTAATCGATTTTTTTAATCGTTTTTTTCGAACTGATCCCGTTTCTAATGCGAGAAAAAAAGCGATTTTTTATCAATTTTATTCTTTCCAAGCCCTTAAAAACCTTATGGAATGCTTGCCCTTGTCAATTTCATGATAAATTTTGTTTAGAATGAATACCGGTAAATAATGCATTAAATATATCTTCACAGAGTCATTTCCCTCTTTTAAATGGCAAGTTTTTGCAGTTGTGGAAACAAACTTTATAAAAAGCTAAAATTAAATCTTATTGTTTTGTATTTCCTTTGCAATTGTTCCTATGAGAAATGTTTCTGAAAGTTAGAAAAAAAAAATAATTGAATGTAATCATCAATTAACAGGTGTCTGATGGGTCTGCTGAAGAAGTGGAGAGGAGCAGTACTTTATACCATGGGCTGGTTCACAGCAGAACAAGTGACTTGAATGTTAAACTCAGCTTACCTAGGCTACCAGATCCCTCTCACACTAGCATGCTCGGCCTTAAAGTACCAGTTTATAATGAGGTTAAAATATGTCATTTTATTTTGGTAGTTAGTTTGCAGAGATTTCTTACTTTACATGTTCGTTTATGTGTTCCTCGATTTTCATATTATTTCATTGAGTGATGATTTCATTTCATTTCATTTATTTATTCAGACAAGTGTCTTGATATATATGTGGCATGGATTTTTAGGTTGCTGATGATGAAGGCTTCAACGAGTCCATGAGTAGTGACATGGCATCCTCTACACCAGAAGATGTGGATAAGAAGATCAACCTATGGGAAGCTGCAATTACACATAAACTGCATACAAAATACACATGGGAAACAATTGGAAGGTAGGATAGATGACTGTATTGCAGTATGTAATTACTCAGCATATTGGGCAGAACGTAAGACAGTCGTTAGTGCAGTGCATGAGGTACTGTAATTGTGAGGTACTGTAGCATCTGTGGTGGTTAGCAGTGCAGCACGTATTGTAGTAGCATTGCAGCACGTATGACAGCATGCAGCACGTATGGCAGTTAGCAGTGCAGCATGTAAGGCATTTAGCAGTGCCGCACGTATCGTAGTTAGCAGTGCAGTATATATGACAGCACTGCTAACTACGATACGTAGTTAGCAGTGCAGTATATATGACAGCATGCAGCATGTATTACAGTTAGCAGTGCAGCACTTATGACATCATTCAGCACATATGGCAGTATGCAGCACATTATGGCAGTTAGCAGTGCAGCACGTATGGCAGCATGCAGCACGTATTGCAGTTAACAGTGCAGCACGTATGACAGCATGCAGCACGTATGGCAGTTAGTATTGCAGCATGTATGGCAGTTAGCATTGCAGCACGAATGACACCATGCATGCAGTATTTATGGCATTTAGCAATGCAGCATGTATGACAGCATGCAGCACATAATGCCAGTTAGGAATGCAGCACATATGGTAGTTTTGACTATATATTATTTATTGAAAATTGCAATTATGGTCGTACTATCTTGGATGTGATTAGTTAAGTATTTTCTGTTTCCTGTCTTGTGTACCATTCTGTAAGTGGCGGATTTGTGTCTGCTGTTGATTTGGTTAATAAATAAATAAAATGTAGGCTCATATTATGCAATGATAACCACCAAGAAAGTCACTGAATTTTACGATTATCTGTTTCTCAGCTTTCCTAAGCCCACCGAGAGGCCATATCTGTCAGAGGCTGGCCCAGATGCATTTGACTATTTATACCATCTAAGAAAATATGAGTTAACCCTAGTAGAGCCTAGCATTCAGGTTCAAAATCAAGTTGAATTAACACAGTCAGATCTTGTGAAAGATGGACTCAATATACTGCTTGCAATTCCTTCAAGGACTTTCCAATTTGAAAGGGTAAGAAAACCTGTCTGATAATAATAAAGTTATAGCTTGCCTTCCAATTCCACGTTTCTTGGCTCAAACCTTCCAAAATATCAATTTCAGTTACCATATTTAGTAATGACTTGCCTAACCTGTCACTCCTCGCAAATTGTGTTTCTGAGATAATGATCAAAACATGTTGGATTGTCAAAGTTTTTGAAATCTATTTTATTGCACGAAACTAGACCATATTTAGAGATCATGCTATGTTATTATTTTCCCTATTTTGACATTAAAACAACATCTTTTTACAATTTGGTCATGGTCGCTGTCGATGTCTGATATCTTAATCTTTAAAGGTTGATTTCTCAAATACTGTTTTTAAACAGCTGTATATATTTACTCCTAACTTCAAAACGAAATGTCAGATTTCAATTATTCTTTTACCATTTTTTATAACGTTTCATTGCTTAACCTTGTATTAATAACTAAAAGTAAATTTTTTGTGAGGAGTGTCTGGTTTGGCCTGCCCTGGCCGCATATTTTAATATTTTTGTTATATTCCTCTCCTAATCATGAATCATTTTCTATTTTCTTTTTGTGAAACAGGAAACTTCATCCTTCCATGTAAACTGTAATATCCACTACAAGGGAACATCACCAGAGATGTTAAGCCAGAGCTTAGCCCCCCTAGCTGAGGCTGGCACCCAGTATTGGCAGCTTAGTCAATTTGCAGTGCAGCGCTCGTTAGACTCGATGTACACCGGTGGTCTGACATTACAAGCATTTTGTAGTGGCATACGCACCTTCCTACAGTTGTATAGTTCACGAGTGTTAACTGTGCCGTGGAATAGTCATTCCACTATTAGTATGGTCCGACATGCTTTCAGAGAATTCATCGCCCAGCTAAGGTACAGTATATATTGATGTATGCGACAAAACCCACAGTATTGACATCGGGGTGGTGGTGTGGAATGATTGGTTGTGGGAGTAGTGGGAAGGTTTGAGTAGTGGTGCTGGCTGGAGAATTACATGATTTGGTTCAGACCACTTTGTTACGCCACAGAAAAGATGTTTACTAAATTTGTGCATTTCATTTACACTTTGTATTTTTTTTTATAGATATTTATGGATGTTCTGTATGTGCCACAGAAGGAGGTTTGGCAGACCTGGAGATCCTGGAGATCCTCTTCCTACTGGAATTCAACTGCTCTCCTACATTTACCAGGAAGCCCTGGATTGTTGCAAGTCCCAGAATTACAAAGTGATATTGGCACTGCTTCGGACTACTTGCGGGCCATACCTCATGTGAGTGAATCTCTAGCGCCCTCTATATTAACTCTTCAGAGGTAGAGTAGTATTTGGTGATCTGTGTTCGTTAGTTCTGTTGAGGGAATCATGCAGGAAATTTTCATTTTCTTGTAGGTTTATTCAGGACTGGATCTTCAATGGCATCTGCCGTGATGGGTATGGAGAATTTATGATCACAGCCAACGATGAGTATCTTCAATACAGAGGTAAGAAAATATAATCATATGAGCTGTCATGATTTAAAATAACTAAAATAATAACTACTTTTAAGATCATACAAAATCACCATTGCATTTAAAGTATTTAGTTGATAATGTCAAGCTAATTATTTATCTATATTTTTAATTTGTAGCAGTTATATTTTTGAATCTCATTTGTTTTGTAATTTGATACGGACATGTTATTTATATATATAATTATATAAAAATAATGGCCTGTACAAACTTTTAAGTATTGTTCTTAATTTCCAGACAAGTACTATTGGACACATGGTTATGTCATGAATACAGAAAATAGTAGCAGCAGTGTCCCAATGTTCCTGCAGGAACTAGCCAATGGTATGTATGTGTGTGGGAAGACTCTGAATTTGATGAAGCTCTGCTGTCCTGGGGTGAGTAACACTACATTAATCCTGTTAAACATAGTAAAAAAAACATCCTTCGCTTACGGTTTCAGTGATTGGCTATGAGGAAACACATTTCTATTATTATTTTTCTGATGGAAGGTCTTACTTATGATTTATAATTTATCATTCAACTCCAAATTTGACTTCTATGAAGTTAAAATAATGAACAGTAGGCTGGATGAATTTATATTCTCTGCCATTTTGTATTGTTTAATTTAGTTAAACCAATGAAATGAATCACTGTGGCTTTCTTATGTATCAAATCTAAGGCTTAGTTCACACTGAAGTTGAATGTGACAAACTGTATATTGACGCTAATTATTAAACTGAGTAATTATCAATCATAAGAATGTGGCTGTGTTGTATACTTTAGTACAGAGAAGCTGTAATACCTTTACTCATAACTTGGGCAATTAAGTCGATTCCAGTAGATGGCCCATCGTTGTAAAGTTTTGCTGGTTTTGATATGTGATAGTGTATACGCATAATGTTATGTTACTCAATGTGTTTTCTTTATAGCATTTTTTATGCAACAATCATGTGCCAATTCCACGACTCACTCTGACATTCTCTCTGGAAGAGTTGGAACGCATTGATAAGGAGACGCATGTTTACACGGAGCGAATGCACAACATAGCCCGACGCAACACTGTGTCGAAGGAGGAAAAGGTATGATGTGGGTGGGTTGTGAATTGTAATTTACAGAGCTGATCATTTGGGAGTGTTTAATGTTGTAGTGCTTAAGGAGGGAAGTTTTAGGAAACAAGCTCTTAACATCGTACAAATGTTTAATAAAAGTCTGATAAGACATTTTTTTGCTCTGATCAGACATTTGAGTGTTATGTACTCAAATATTGTATAGTAAAAGTCTGATAAGACATTTTTTGCTCTGATCAGACATTTGAGTGCTATGTACTCAAATATTGTACAGTTTTATACAGCGAATAGGACTGAGATTTGTGTAATATATTTAATATGAACAATAGAAATGTCATTCACATTGTTACTATACTTTCGGTTTTTGTTAAGGAAGCTAGGTTGGAGAAGGCACGAGAAGATCTGCTGATCCAAGCAAGACGGACTGCTGTACATGAGTTGAACAGAATAAGAGGTAATAAAGAAGTCTGTAAACATGCAAATTCCTTATTTTATTTTATTGCAACTATTTTATACTATTTTACCTTGGGATAATTTATTTATTTATTTTATATACTGTATGTTTATCTTATAAAAATATCTTGGTTCTCTATTTTTTCATTGCATAGATGCTATTGGCTCTGCAGGTTTAATAATTTAAAAAAATCTTGGTCATAGTGGATTTTGCCTCTGTTTCAACCATGTTGTTCCGTCCATCCAACACTTATGTTTATATATACTCAACTCTGTGAAAGAATATTCCTTAATTATTTCCACTCGGACAGTAATCATACCAAACACAATAAAGTTAAAAATATATATTATAGAAGCATGTATTTTATATGTATTATTATACTATATGTATTATACAATGTTGCTTTATTGACAGGTGAGATGAAGCAAGTTAAAGAGGCAGCAGATGAAAAGAAGAGGAAAGAATTAAAGGAGTTAAAAGAACAAATGCAGCGAGATCTTGTGGTAAGGAAAACATTGAATATGAAGTACCTGAAATATGGTCCTATCTATGTTGAACTAGGAAACTTCTACAAAATTTGAATATTTAAATTGTTTTTTGTATGTTTAACCACCCTTGCCTCTCTGATGGAGAAGTGAAGGGCATTGCAGTAGCATGTTGTTGTCTGTCTGTGTGCATGGTGTGTGTGTGTCCTTCCTTCCGGGCACATAACTCAAAAACAACTGGATCGATGTACTTAAAATTTTCACGCATTGACAATGTTACATATATCTCATGCTCTCGGAAATTTTGGTGCTGATCTGAATTAAGATGCAGATTTTAGAATAGTTGTGTCTTTATTTCTATTTGTGTTTCTTTGTTTTAAATGTTATATTTTATTTCATTTACATAGAAGCTTTTATCTTGAATTATGCACTATACAAGTGTTATTATTTATTAACAGGTCGAGGATTTGTAATCTCAGATTATCTTGTTAACTCTAGGCTTTGTATCCCATTATAACATTTGCTGGTCGTAAACTTTTCATTATAAAAAGCTCTGTAAATTGGAAACACCCTATGTTCACTCTGTCTTATCAGAAATTCTAATTGATAAAATAATTATTTTATTTGTTTGTCCTAAACTGCAGAGACGTGCAATGAAAATTGAGGAAGAAAAGGAGACAGACCGAAAGGAGATTGAGGAGCAGGATCGAATTGAGAAGGGAATTGCGGACATAGAAGGAGAGTTGGAGAGTAAGGCAAGGTGTGCTCCATTTTTTAATACATTAACTGTTTATTTTGTTCAACAAAGGTGGAGATTAACTATGACATAGGTGGTCTATACTGCATACAAAGTGTTGTTTAGAGGATTTGCGTTTGATAGTAACTTGCATTGTGTGGAAATGTGTTTGGTACAGTGCAAAACCAATTAGTGTAGAAGAATATTATTATCCATTTCATATAATATAACTTTATTTTATCAATGTACATTTATACATTAAAATTTGGGTTGGCTCTGCGTAATGCTGCAAATACATAGCATATACAAACATGTGCACACTTACAATAAATGCACCACATAATTTTAATACTATAATTTTTTTAAAATAATTTGGCAACAAACAAGTTTCTTTCAAAATCTTTAGAAACAATATTTCGAAACTCGCCCTCTTATCGTCATTCAGCATTTTCTATGCCAAAGATGAACCCATGTGGACACCCCTTAATCTGTAAATTCTTCTTGAAACTACTGTTACATGGAAGTAATTTTTTCCTCAAAAATGTAAATATAATAAAATTATTAATTGTACATAAAATAATGTTATTGCAAATAAATTATCAAAAATAATTTTTCAAACTGCCGAGACATGGAAGTGATTTTCTCCTTAATAATAAATAATAGTAACTGCTACTCATATATTTTTTTACATTTGTGTCGTCCTGTAAACCTGTTTTTGCAAATGTCCCTCTTTGTCTCCCTAGCATGTCCTGTTATATGGACGAATCTAGGGCTTCTATGTTCATTTAATGATTTGTTTTTCGTGATGTGATCAGTCTATTTTTTTGTATGTTTTCTTTGTTGAATCTGAATAAAGTGATGAATAAAAAAAAGTAGGGCCTTAATGGCACAAGGAATGAAACTATCCCTAAACCTACTGGTACTCGTTTTCAGAGACCATTACTGCTGACTACTTCGCATTTTATGAAAGAAGGAATTTGCAGAATGGAAAGTATCGCACCTATCAACTGTCTTTTTTTCTTGATAGAGCTTGTCAACTGAACAACTATTATCGGTCAATACCGATAATACGAGAGACAATCTTAACTACACTACATAAAGGCTATATATTCTATATGTAGTTTTATTATTACTTATGTGTCACAGTGTTCTAAATTTGTTACAGAGAAGAATTAATTGAATACTATGCCAAGCTGACTGAAGATGCCATACGTAGAGAACGGCATGCTCTGTGGCGAGTACAAAGGCGCAAGTTAGATGACAAAAGAATGAAGTTCTTTCAGCAGGATGAAGCCGACATGAAGAAAGAATTACTGAGGGTAAATCAAGAAACATCAATCTCACCAGAACCATTGACAAAGACATTGTCTGGAAAATCTGCTATGTCTAGTGAACTTCCACCTTCTACAGAAGATCAGGTATCAACAACTAAAATTGATTTCCAAACTGTAGTTGAGTCTATACCACCCAGAATTGAGCAGCCACAGACTAGTTCAGAGGATCTAATCTCAATGAAAGGAGACGATGGCACCACAGGATCATCTGTTGTAACTGATAAACAAATTGATCAGCAACCAGGCCAGATGAATTTGCTTGATACATCTTTGCATGACTTTTTGCCAAAGCCTAAAGAAGAGTTATTTCACCCTCCAGATAATGATCTGGATGATATTTTGATAGAAATAGGCTCAGAGCTGCCCTCAAAAGATTCTGATAGACTTGGATATGTTCAGGATACACAGAAAACAGCTCCTGACAAACAGGGTGCAAGACATCCATCAGAATCAAACTTCATTGTTGGGGAAGAGATTGGTGGAAGTTCAGTTTCTTTGCCATCAGGCAGTGTTGGCCAGGGTTGTGTGTCAACTATTGAAAACATCTTATACTCTATGGAAGGCAAGAATGATCTTCCTCAGAAAGGTGATCATGGACATGCCAGTGATGCCATTTTAACAGATTTTGCAGCTGACGATATAAACAGCAAGTTTTGTGAACACAGACCTCATCTGCATGGACACTCAAGCGATTCTACAATGGGTGGTCTTATTTACCCAAAACAAGGAGATGTTGGTGGAACAATAAAACGTAAACAAAGGTCAAAATGGGGTCATCCTTCAACGACCTCTGACATTCAGTTAGGATTAGTAGCAATTTCAGAAAAGGAAGATGATACTCTAAAACTTCAGAAAGTCACAGAAGATGAAAAAAAATCAGGAATTGAACCTGTGTCAAGGTCAGCTAATGTCCGAATATTTCCAATAAATCCTCATGGACATTCTTCAGACTCGACAGTCCAGACAGTGCTGTACAATCAAGAATTAACTGCCAATTCAAAAGTATGTCAGCCTTCTGAGAAGAACCAGGAAGCTGTCAGTGCCTCTGAGCTTTCTGCAAGAGGTGCCTATGGACACTCTTCCGATTCTAGTATACAGAAATTACTTTATCAAGATATTGGTGGAATGGAGAGGAAGCAAGAGGCTGTAGTAGAATCTGGACAAGTATATCGTGGAAGGGGTTTGAATGTTGTTGGTCATCCCTCCGATTCTTCGGCAGGAAAGCTCTTGTATGGTGAAGGTAACGTTCAACCACTAGACTTAAAAGGTAAGAAAATGAATCTTTTCTTTAAATATTTTATTACCTCCGCCAAAGGAGGTTTGTGTTCATCACTCACTGTCTGTCTGAGTTTCTGTGTCTCTGTTTCTGTTTGCAAGATTATGGAAAGCTAATGAATGGATCATCAACAAATTTAGTGGAGTGGTACATGATAATAGTAAAAAGACACCATTCAATTTTCGGAAGAAATGATCAAAGGTCATAGAAATCTGATTTGTTACTCTCAAGCATAAAAAATATGTAATCGCCCCTCGTATTTAGACAGTACTTTAGAAAATAATGTGCCTGAGTACAACAGGCGATGCCATTAATTCTTTGAGGGTATGCTGCAGTTTTGCCCATTATACAGTGATGGCCAGCATATTATTAGGTTTTGGGCACAGGGCAGAGGTATGCACTCTAATGAGTGACTGCTCTATTTTGCATAACCAATAGCCAAATGATTGATTGAACCAAGATAAAACATCCAAGTTGACATTGGATCTTAATAAGATATCTTTTCCAACTGAGATTAAAACTGCTTAAATACTGCCAATAAGATATTATGTGCTAAATAATTTTCCTTGATGTGCCATGCCAGTTTAAAAGTACATTCAATCAACCAAGCTAAGTTTTATGGGTTGTCAGCATAAATTTATACCAATATTTTATCTATTTGATGAAAAAAATATATTTACTGGTGAGTGACACTTGACCTAGTATTTTCTTTTTCTCATTCCCACGTTGGTTTAGTTCATGAGGATGCAAAAGGAGAAATTGAAGATGGCTTAGTTCTACTACTCTCAGAGACATTCAAGCCATTTGAGGACGAGTTCAACCAAACATGTAAGCATTTGTCATACAAAAGAAGTAGAGTGGAGATGTAGTTTGGTGCTTGCCTTCCAATCCCAAGGTCCTGGGTTCAAATCCTGTTACAGCACAGGATTTTTTTCTCCTGACTAAAAAAAACATCTCTACACCCCAAGCCTCGTAATGAGACTTCGCTGACAAAGCATCATTTTATATTACATTTATTTAAGAGGCCCTGAATATCAGCCGATCTTCTAGGATACATTGGAAGGGTTACAATGTCAACTATATTAGTACTTAGGGTATGCACTGTGGCAAAAAATCTAGAAAACCCAAATAAATATATCAGACATTGAATTGTTTGTTGTTTGTTTAGAAACATAATTATTTATGATTTCCAGACTTACTTATTTACTATAAAACTTATTAAATTGATTACCAGGCAATTTAATTGTAGAAGAGAATATAGTAACAATATTTTGTTTACATTTTGATTACGGGTAAGGAAAATGTTTTGTCTTTTTAAATAAATTATATGTAAACAGGTCTAAATTTAATTAAAGACCCCTCCAATTAGAAACTAAATCCAATTACCATAGTTTCCAACCATCTCGCATCGTGCGAGACAGTCCTGCATATCAAAGTGATTTTGGATTAAAAATTCATTTTGCAGAAACATGTGCGTGATCATAAATTTGTTACGCATTTAGCACATGTCTATGCCTGATAACAAATTATAAAAAATTCAGGGGAAAATGTATGCAGAATTACAATAAATTGGTTTTAATAAAAAATGTAAAAACAGTCATTAGAGAGCTTTTGTTATCTTGTTTGAGAATCATTTCACGAGAAAAGTTCTTTCTCGTTAACATATTTAGACCAGATTTCAATTGCCTGCTTTTGTTATCTTGTTTCACATTCTCTTTATGAAAAATATTTCTGTTTATGTACCGGGTATTGTCAACAAACACTTTCTGAAGTCATTTTAAAACTGCTTAAAAATGCTCAGAGCGGCAGCAGTACCCCCCGCCCAGATTCGGTCCCTGCACCCTTGCGGCCCCCCTGTCCCCTAGTCACTTACGCATTTCAAATCTCTCAGGTTGGTAACTATAAATTACAGACCAGACCACATTTCATTGGTCCCATTTTAACAAATGTCTGTTATCTTAATTATTCTAAAGAAACCTGGAACCTCCGAGTTCAAGAAGTGGTCCTTAATTGTAGGGATACTTGTATAAACAAATATGAAATATATATTTTGTTTAAGTGTGTAATAAGCTCAACACTTGCATTGATTGTTCTTTTTCTTTGCAAATGGCAGGTTCATTACCCTCCGTTGACT